GGAAAGAGTTTGCTGCTATAAAGATGAGCTGCTTTCTACAGGGTTAACTTGAAATGCCAGGGCTTACTTTTGGAGACAAGATGCTTCAAAAAATGAATGATCATTTTGGCTGTTCAGTTCCCTAAGCCCTACCAGAAGGGTCAGAATTAAAACAAAAGCATCCCATATTCATTACCAGCTTGAACAGGCAAAGATCATGCAACTAGAACTGGTTTTAATCATCTTCTTTTATCTTCTTCTATCTTTTTTTTTTTTTTTTTAATTTTCATCAACACAAAGGTACTTCCCAACAGACTACAAGCAATGAGGATGCTAAGGAGTCACTAACAGCTTATCTTTACAACCTGCAATCCTTGTTTTTTAGATGTTACCTTCAACTTTAACAGTTAAGAAAAAAATATTACAAAAATCATCTCTGTGGACCAATACTTAATGGCCCAACTTAGTAACCTGTAACTTCATTACTTGATTATTTCCTCTGTTCTCTTTTTATTTTACCTCTCCAATCCGTGCACCGCTCAGGACAAAAGCAAAGGTCTTATTAACTGTCTTCAGTCACCCACTATCACCTCTGTTCATTACCAAAATACTTACAGAACTCATCTCTCTAGCTGATTTTAAGGCAATGGGAATTGAAATTCAGCAGCTGGATACAAGACAGAGCTTATGTGCTCAAAAAGCTCACTGACTTTCTGTGAATCACATCTCAAAACCAGTTACTAATTTTCCCCACAACATGACTATAGCTATTAATAACTTACATTTCAATGCAAGATAGAAATAGACACAGTAATTCCAAGGTACCACTCATTTTACTTCTCTAAATTAAAAGTGATAAGAGCCAATATAAAGTACAGACATTACTGACTGCCTAACTTGAGGTCTTTGATTCTAACTTGTACTTTGACAAGATGCACTATCAAGGTGTACCATTCAAATCCTTGCATGCACAAACATCAATCTTATAAATTTAAGTGCTTTTATGGAATCTATCAAGTCCAGGGAACACTAAAATCACTCTTCCCAAATACAGTCTTGTGCATGTATTGCATCACTTCAATGAATGGACACACAGCATGCCAGCTAACGAGGTTTGAATCTCAGTATTCATGCAAGTACAATAGCCTCTAAAATATTATCTTCAAAAATATATATATTTCTTTTAATGCATCTAACCAGCTCTTTTTCAGGCAAGTCACATTTGAGAATTAAAACTTACGTGCCAGTGTAGATCAACGAATATATATGCATGATATAAACAGCTCTGTAATCTTTCTTATGGCTATTTAGTGAGCATGGCAAAAAAAACAACTTGCTCTCTTAAAATAGTAAACAACTTTTGTAAAATTAAAAAAAGAATTAGTTACTTTTCATCCATTCTACTGCGCATTTTTTTAAGCTTCTCCATGATGCTACTAGTCTCACTGCTGGAAACTGAGACTGGGGAAGGAGTGCGTGTTTCTGCATCTGTTGGAAGAGGGCTAGAAGCATTGCTCTGTTTGATCTCATCTTCACTGGGAAGTTCCTGCAATAAGTGTTAAAAAACAATTAAATCCAACAGTAAGAGTAAAAACAGTTATTAGGCTACCATCTCTTTTTTTGTGTGTGAATTTATCCCACTTTTTAGAGATTATATCAAATAATATCTCAGATAAATCTGTCTATCTGCAGATCTCCAATGAACTAACTTCATACTCCAACTTCATTTCTATTTTACACACAGCTTTTTACTACATCCTTTCTTTTCCTCCATAATTTAAGTCTCCACTGGTTCTGGACAGTATCCAGAACTAAAAAAACCCCAAGAATGCGAACATTAAGTCACACACAAAGCAGAAATCTGTGGTTTGTTTTGTGGTTGTCTTCTTTTAAGAGTTTAGGTTTTAAATCTTTAGGATCTAATAGGGCCATACTTAAAGCATTCTTTCCTACACAACCCTCCTTCTACTCACTTACCAGCAAGTATATTCCAACTTTTCATGATTTAAAAAACCCCAAATCCCAAAGGCCAAACTTTACAAGAATCAGAGCCTAAAAGAGCCGATTGTCCAGAAAGGTAATATACCCAAAGTCATTGGTCCCTAGTTTGAGGATTAAAAAACAACACCTACTGTTTGATTAAAATAAAGCATCCATTTTAAAGCTTCTCCAAGGATATTTCCTTAAATAATGTTCTAAAGAGATTAAACAGATGAAAATGCTGAAACACAGAGGATGAGGGAGTTTTAGGAAAAACAAATTTGTAGTCTGGTGACAGGTTCAGATTAGTAGCCTTCTATTCCTATAGACACTGTAGCCAAATACCAGCTGCAGAGACAAAAGAGGGAAGAGTCTCAATTCCATACTGACACTTACCAGTTTGTTTTCTCCCGCAGACTTTAATTTTTCCTGCAGTTTCATTGTAGTTTGATGGATTTTTTCTATTTCTGCCTGCTGTTTAAGAATCAGTAGCCTCTCTTTCCGAGCAGCCTTGTTGGCTTCCTGAAGATGCTTAATTTCTGCCTTTTATGTAGAGAGTAAACAAAATAACTATAGTTACAAATAGCTCAAAGACACACTTTAAGCCTGCCACTGTCTGTACTGCAAGATTTATTATTTTCTCACATAATTTCAGTAATTTTAGCCTGCAACTTCAACGGCAGACACAGAAGATTTAATTATCACACCTGAACTTCACCAGTGACACTACTGATAAAACACCACTAGTATGTTTTATTTATAAAGAAACACTACCAGCTTCCTATTCAAAAATCCCAGAACAGTCTTCTCAATACTTTTACAACCCCTGAAATATTTAATCACCACACAGTGTTTTCAAAAGTTTTTTCCTACATGGCATTGGTTACCTTCTCCTGTTGTAATTTCAGCAGCAGATTACGCTTTAGCTTTGTTATAGGAGGCATCTTATCATCCTCTCCCTTGTCTCGCAAGTGCCTGAAAATAAAAAGATAGAAGGGACTAAATAGGAGGGGTGACAAGGGGAGAAAGCCATACACAGATAATGAACAAAAAGCTTTTTAATAACAATATTAATAATAATAATAACATAGGATTTCACATGAACAGACAGAAGTGCTGCAAAGGTAGCTTGCTCATCATTTGAGAGGACAAAAGAATGGATCTTGGGTCACTGCTTCACAGTCCTTCGTCAAATCCACAATGATAAGCAGCTAGAAGAAAACGTCTGGCGGACAGAGGCTCCCTCCTACAGTAAGTCACCAAGTCGGGAGAACGGGAATATATCCCTGATTAAATCAGGCAACTTCTATCCAGTAGCATTAGTAGGTACCTCTACTGGAATTTCATGCAAAGCATACGGAAGGTTGGAATAAAATAGGGATATCACATATGCAGATTCACAAAATTTGGCTTAAGTCAATTAAAAAGACCTTGAATCATCAACACCTTTATATTTTCCAGCATTAAGACTTGTAAAGTTAGGAACTACCCTCTCTTTGACCAACAACACAAACCTCTCATGTTCTGCTCTCGATTAAACTCTTTTTACCTAACTGTACCTGACAAACACCAAAGCACACTTACAAATTATGTTCAAGTGACAACAGTTGTACATATTCTAAGTATCAGAAGATTAGTTCATTTACTGAAGTTTAACAGAAGGGAAGGAGTGGAAACAAAATCCACAAAAATAAACAAATGGGTTAATAAACAAACAGAATCAAGTAGGAGCACAAGAAAGCGACCAGTTAGCAACAGTGCATAGTTAGAGCTCTCTTACTTCTTCTGGTGCTCCAGCCATGCTAGTTCAGCCTTGGTCTTCTCCTTCAAAGCCCTTTCCCTGAGCCGAAGCAGTGAGGAATGATGAGCTGCTCGCATTTCTTCCTCTTTCATGTACTGCCTTACCATCTCCATGGTAAACTTGGAAAAACTATCTTGCCCTCTGGAGAATGGCATGCTTAGCTCCTGGAAGGCAAGACAAACTCAGCATGATTTGATAATATAGGAATCCCCGAGTTTTTAAAAATTATGCATATATAAACATATAAACTTATATATGTGTGTGTTATATGTACACTGATCACACTGCATATATCACACTGACATGCAGTGTGATTCATATCACTCTGCATTTTGTAGTACTGAAAGAGGAAAAAAAGAAATCTAAAGCTTGCAACCACAACTAAACGAATGGCTCACTTCAAGCCCACTAGCTTGAATGCCTCATGTCAATTTATTTACCCTAACTACATCACTTGCCCTACCTTGATAGATGACAGAGCTTCTTTTCCTGGGCAGACATCCTCATCAGAATCACGACTACCTCGTTTCTTTTCCAGGTTAATTCTGCGATGACTCTCAGAGGGTAGCAAAGACCGAAAAGACTTTTCCTCAATTTCATCCTCTGTCATAGACTCATCAAATTTCAGAGAATACTCTGTTGCAATTGAAGCAGAATCTGAGGAAGAAATCAGAGAAGTGGTTTTATTCTCAAAAGTATGTACCAGATGGCTGTGTAACTCTGCTTCATCTCAGTAAAGGTGTAAAAGGGGAGAGGGATGACTAACCTAATGCAAAAAAATAGGAGTCTTAGGAAAGAGCGATTTTGAGCTAGAAGACAAAGACGACAAAATGATATACTACTATTTAGCTAACAAAGACATAATGAGGTTCTTTATAAGGTATAAAGGTAAGCCATCCCATTGGGATTGCATGTGCCATTCTCTGCTACCTCTTAAGAGCCCAACAATCCACCCGGGATTCAGTTTCCTTCACACGTGTTGCCTCATTTATTTCAGAATATAATTCCATAACACAACCTCCTCCTCCCCCTGCTTATCATCTCTAGGTTCACCACAGACAAGCAAGAGCTCTAACCTTTTTCATCTGGCAGCGATAAAACACTATCGCTCGGCAAGGAGTCATCCACAGCAGTACAAGCCTGCTCTTCAATACAGCTACTGGTCTTCTCCCGCTGGGAAAGCTTTTTCTCATTCTCCTTAGAAGATGGAACTGAAGGACTCTCTTGACGGCTGCTGGTACTACTGTTTCACCAAGAAATAACATATATGTATATTTATATATGTATACACATACACATATATACATTCATGAGTGTGTATATTTAAAAACCCACAAGTATAGTACTTCAGACATTTCAAAATATTTAGTTTACACTACTACTGCACATATTGATGACCAACATCCCAGAGCAACCAATATTCAGGTTTTGCTGGTGGAGTTGGTTGTTTTTTTGGCTGTTGTTTTTGTTGGGGTGGTGGGTTGGTTGGTTTGTTTCTAAAGCTGAGCAGCTTTAAATTGGACATTGTACTCCAGATACAGTCTCACAAGAGTTGAATAGGGTGGAATAAGCGCTTCCCTTGACCTGCTCCCTTATCTTGCTAATATAGCTTGGTAAGAAAGCAGGTGTGGAATTCTTAGGTTCCTAAGTTATGAAACAGAAAGACATCAAATAAAAACAAATACAGCAAATATGAACCTGAAAATATTAACACACTATATACAATTGTGGAATGCAGTTTAGCAAGATTTTACAATTATAAACAAAGCAAATTCTAGTAGAAATATAAGCCTTCAAGCTTTAGAACATAAGAAAAACTTCACCTGCAGAAGGTTTAAAGTCAACTTTTGTTTAATATAGACTTTCCCTCTTTAAAGAAAAAAAGAACACCTTGAGGAAATGTCTCATTATTACTTTGTATTTTTTAGATTCTATTTCGTCTTTACAGAGGAAATAAAACGTGAGATCTTCTTACCTCTGATCATGAATCTTTGATCTTGAGGATTCTGAGTAACTATCAAACACTGGTGAGTATGTTTGTTTTGAGTCACCCTTCTCCTCTTTACTCTGTGAAATGGCACCAGACATAGATTTCCTGAAAAAGGAAAGTGTTTGGGCTGAATCTGCGTGGTCTTAGAACAAAGAATAATAACTTCAGTTTTCTTACATATCAGTTCACTAAGAGAAATAATAGCTAAATTTCTGAAGTGGCCACTTAAGCCTTAGACTAGTTTAAAAAAAAAAAAAAAACACACAAAATGCATCTACTTCTGCTCCTTTATATACAATTTCACTAAACAAATCTCTCATGCTTGGGATATACTATTATGTGCAGGAAGATGCATCTTAAATGCTCCCTTGTTATCACACCTTATGATTGTCTTCAAGAAAAGGAGAAGCAAAAACAAACAGATCCTAATCCCCCCTCCTCTAGATGAGAAATACATTAGACAAAACCTGTTTGCATCAGCTCGTGCTCTCAGTTGTTTTATGAACTCCATATGATGCTGCCGCTGGTGGTCAAACAAAGTTGTCATTGGAGCGGCTGGAGCATTCACAGTGTCTGAGATTTGGGCTAACTCTGTCATCTGAGTACAATAAAAAAACAACAAAAGAAAGAATACAAAGTCAACATCATCTATATATTTTTTTGAAAGAAAAAATATAGCCATTCCTCTTGCAGGGAGCTTGCCGATCTAGTGAACAGATGAGACACACACATGATTTTGACATTGTTTATAATTACATATGTGCCAATTTGTTGATAAGAGGTGCATACTGCGCTGCATACAGTTATTTTATTTTTAGAGTGGTATTATCCATGTGCAACTATAGATGTGTGAAAGATATTGCCACTTATCACAGCGTTCCAATCACTTACCTGAATTCTGCTCACTAGAATGACTTCCGCATAGGAACACATTCTCTGAGCTACAATTTACTTTTAAAAACCTGCCAGAAACAATTACTTTTCATATTTTTTAATATACGACATCCACTGACTAGAAACATGACAGAAAATTTCAAAAAAATCACAGCATATGGTAACACTGTTTTTAGAAGCTTCAGATTTTACTGATTTTGCTCTTGTTCAAATGTCTTCACCTTCAGGAGCAGAGAACTAAGAGTTGTTTCAAAGGAGAGGGGGTGTTAGCAGTAACAACGTGTTTTCAAAGGATTTAAAATATACATGTTGAGCTTTTCTCCTCTTCTTTTTTTTTCTCTTTTGTCTTGTATTGCACGTGGCTTTCCAACATATAGATCAGTTATTTTTAATTGGACTATCTGTATACATCGCTCATTATTTTCCTTTCCTTAGCATAAACAAGCATATATAAGAGCATACTATATTATCTCTTTTGCATAAGATAAACATCTAATTGAAAACATTGCATAAAATGAAGCCCCTTCCTTTATACACAAGAAATTACACTGTACATCCAAAAAGATACCCTCGCACACAGTGACTGGTATTTCCATTCCTGCATCCCACCTAAATGGGCGTTTGTTCCAATCACTATCCCCTAGGAGTCACTTCCCACTCAGTCACTACTCTCTGATTCAAACTTAAATCAAGACAAGAAATTAAAACTCCTCACTGAAAGTAAATGAATAAATTGGAGAAAAAAAGTCTGTGTTGCCTCTGCCCTGTTTCTTAATTTATTTCTACTCATTTTGACTCCCTCAAAGACATTTCTTTGTCGGTCTCTATCCAAGTCATCCACCGCTGTCTCCTATCAACAACGCAGTAGGTACCTCTAATGCCCGAGTTGTTCTGTTCCATCAACCTAAACCATTTTTGTCTATTTGGGAATTATTTAAACTTCATGTATTTGGTAAAGCCCACAAGTAGTAAATCCGCATTCTACAACCATCATTTATGATAAAAACTGCCTTGATAACCACTAAAATGTGCCTGTGCATAAGCTGCAAAGAAGCATCCTTCTGTGTTCGTATCCATCAATCAGCCTTCTGCACCATCTCACAACCCAAATTCAGAGTCATTGAGAGTACAGAACTATGACAAAGCAAAAGCATTCTGGTTATTGTGCTTCTTATCTGTGTAAAGTGGCTGCTATGTTTTGGGAATAACAATTATACTTAAAAACAGAAAATAACTGTATATCACATGAAGAATGAAATGAAATTCAAAGAGAATATTTTAAACTCTGGAGTGAAGGAAGAGTTCTGATGATTTTTTAAAAATTTGTTTTTAGCTATTCCCTTTCTTCCTCTAAAGGAAGCAAATTTGCAGTTTTCCTCCTTTTCTAGTTTAAATGCATATGAATCAGGCATAGGATCAATCCCTGATGGAGAGTAATATCTACAAATTAAACATTCTGTGTTTACTATCATCAATCTGTCCTTCAAGAACAAATTCTTGAATGGTTTATTAACTGGAAGGATGTAAGAATAATGAACAGGAATCTTAAGTCTGACAACTGACTTGTTTCTAAGCTGTGATGCCAGAAAAGCTCTTTTTAGCTTCTATCATTTTTCATGTTGTGAAGGTGAAGAAGCTGCACTGAATAAAAAATAACCTAGAGGAAAAACAGTTTTTGAGTAACACTGAAATTAGCAGAGTGTCTCCTTTCATACAGGATCTCACCTCACGGATTTGGCGAGCTGCATCTGTAGTAAGAAGTGCAGCTTCTACCTGCTTGGCTACAATCTTGCATGTGTTTTCTTGCATCACTTCTACAGCCTCCTGCCGTGCTTGAACCAGTTGTTGTAGTGACTCTGCATGGACCTATGCAGAAAAAAACATCTAATCAAGATCTTCAAAATTCTCTAGTAGAGTTTTACTTGTCACAACCTAGAAAAAAAGTTCAAAATTTGTTCCTTAGGGGCCTTTTTCAGCTGCAATAAACTCCTTCACTATTTCTATATGTTCACAGCCTTTGCCATTTCCATACACATTCACAGCTTCACGTTAAGAATATTTGTAGGCTTGGATTTATTTACAGCATTTTGCCTTTTATACACTCCACAGTTTTTGAAGGGCAGCATTACCTGAGCTGCCTTCTGCCTTACCTCTTCCAGCTGCCTCTGACTTTCTAAAGCTTCTTGTTCTGCCTTCATTTTCAAAAGAGCCAAGTCCCGTTCATGGCGCTGCTGCTTTGCCTATACATCAAGGAAACAAGTTTTAACATTGGAAGCTAAATGCAAAAATCCTTTCCACTGCATGCAGCTACCTTAGAGAGACAGATCTGCTCCAATGGTGCCTCTTCTGCTAAAGTCAAGTTTTCAAGCTACCTCCTGATTATCTCCCTTTTAAAATAGGCACATTCCTCAACTGTTTCCACTTCAGTGTGGAAGGAAGGATGATTTAGGAAATCAGTTAATTCTACTTAAATTAGAACACACAATGCTGTCAGAAGGAAATTTCACCCCAAAATCTTTTGCATTAAGACAAAATTTCATGCGTGAACAACTGCACTGCATTGCATCAGGACCCAACACCAGACTTGTTAATTAATTATGTTTTAGTCTTACTGAGGTGCCCAGTCACAACCGTGATTTCAGATAATGGTGACATGTTCCTAGCCCGCTATTTCTTTAAAGGCAGTAAGAAAAGTAACATCAGATAGTAATCCAAACAAAATGACATGATCAGAGATGCTCCAGCACGCCCATTAAAACTTCTCTGCATCTCTAAAGTATTAGCTATCTAATTTGATTAACTTTCTTGGAAAATATAAAAGAGGAATGTTAAGTCAAGGAAATATTTTCCCATTACCTTTAGAATCTGAGCCAAAGACACACTCTCCTGCTGGGCAAGCGATATGCCTCGTACTCGTTCCACGTCGGAAAGCTGCCGCACAGACTCCTCAATAGCACTAAGGTAGTTCAATTCTGCTGAAAAACGATGCTGAAGCCCGGCGGGGGAGAAGCGCATACACCCTGGAGGGCAAGACTCACTGGTCAGTCTCCATAGGCTCCGCTGGCCCACGTCGTATAATAAAGAGCACATATATAACACAACCACTCACCGCTTGCCGAGGCTGCTCCTGCTCTGGGCCTGCTCATTCCCAGACTGGGCTCAGAGAAGGCTACGTGAGGTTTCAGCCCTGGCGCTGGACTTGCAGAGAAGCCAGCAGGTGACTTGGCTCTTTCTCCTGTTTTGCCTACAGAATCAAACCGCAGCAATTTTTGGGAGCCTGGAGATGGGGAAGAGGTTGGTGTCTTTTGGGATCTTCCCTTGTCCGAGAAGCTGACAACAAAAGCAAGAAAGGCATCAGTATTCTCAGGTCCTGCCATTTGATAAGATTTTAAAGCAATAATCTATTTCTTCTACATATAAACACTAAAACAGATCTATGCAAAAAGCCTGTTCTTTTATAGTTTACATAAGCTCAGTCTGCATTTAAGAAATAGCATCATGAGATTGGTTTTGCAACTGCATTCCATCTTGAAACTAAGTTTATACAGTGTCCTATTTTTCCACAGTATTAAACATTGTTAGCATACAGGTACAAACAAACAACAAATTATTTGCATGTTCCAATCCAAGAACAACATTGCTGGATGTGGCAAAATCTGTGGCAGTAATTAAATAAGGGTAAGAAAACTTCCTTCATATAAATAACACTGTTATTAGTGAAAAATAACATGAAATTTGGTGAAAGTTTCATGAAGTGAAAATTAAAAGAAAACAGGGACCTGAAGTAAGGAGTTTAGTCCACAGTTTGGTATCTGATGAGCAGACACTATTACATGATCCAACCAGCAGGAACCTGGTCACTTTAACATGCATGTGAATTTATGCATCTGTTTTGAAAGTCCAAGTCAAGAACTTTATTTTACTCACAGGAAGTTACGATGGTATTTTGACAGAAAGTATAGCAAACTGCATTTTTTTTTTAAGAGGTTACTATCAAAATATTGATGCAACTAAAAGTGTAAGGTACTACTTTGAGTTTTGATCCTTTCATCAAAATACAATAAATGCTCCAACTACTTAAAAAGACATTTTGCTATACTTGGCACCTCTCGGTATGTTAAAAGGAGCTTTTTAAACTTAACACTGGATGTCAGCACAGGTCACTAAAGTAAGTCAACACCTCAGGATCATTCTATATCCACAAAGAATGAGGGAAAGCCCATTTGCATTATTTGTTGTTTCGGCGGGGGGAAAAATGGAAAATGAAAATGCAACTGAGCATATCTCATAACTCTGCATGCACAGACACATAATCATTTTTTTGGATAATGTAGCATAACGCTCCTAGACAGTTCACATTACCTCATCAGGGAGTGTGCAGACAAGTTTTCTAGTGTGCTGTCAGTATCTGGGGTCTGCTCAAGATCCTTATTAGAAATTCTATTACTAGACAAGGACTTCTTGGCCTGGTGGGATCCCCGCTCCAGGTCAGACGGCATTTTCTCTCCTTCCACTGGAAAGTGGTGAGAATTTCCATTGCAAGATTCCAGTCCTAAAAATCAATAAGAAAGGCAAAGTTCATGTTTGGTATTCTAAGTATGAATCTTAGCCATCAGGAGCCCCAAAACAAATGACTTTTTTTTTTTTCCCTCTCCATTTAATAATGCCTTCGAAATAAAAGTATGTATATCCAGTAAGAAAAAAAAAAAAAAAAGCAACTCTGACAACCTCCTACAGAGATGAACTCAATCATATTCATTTGCAGACATGTAGTAGTAGTTTCCTCAATGCAAACTACAGGCAATTCTCTTTTGCATATATCAACTAAACTATAATTTTTAAATTGAAAATAGTATCAGTTTAAATAAAGAAAATATCAACTTAATTTCTTAAATACTGAAAATCAGAATGAAGCCTACCTTTATTTTAGTAAACAAGAGAATTTCAAGAAAGTAGTAACAAAGAATTTTGAATGCCTAATCTTTTACTTCTCTCACAGTTTTAAAGCTATCTTTTCCCTTATGTTATTGTTTAAATATTGGGTGTAGCAAATCTCAATTTTATTCACGTTTTCACAGTTTACAAGCTACCACAGAAGCATATTTATTAATTTGTGGATGCAAATGTAAGCTGTCTGTGATCTAGAAATGAAGCATGTCTCCTTCGCAAAGGTGGCCATACCTCTGATTGCTAAAAAGCCTATTGGAATGAAGTTAACTAATTTGTCAAAGGCTGGTTTAAGAAAGGAATATTTTTCAATAATGTTAATAACCTTCTGCCCATTTGTTTTTGGATGACCCTCATTTAAGATCAGAGACAAATTAGATAGACTCAAAAAAGAAAGAACCATGGAAGGTCACCAGATTTACTCACTCAGTTGAAATAAGGACTAATGCCAAAAAAAGGGCAACTGGGTCAGGGCTTTGTCCAGTCAAGTTTCAAACATCTCTAAGGACAGAGATCTCAACCTTTCTGTTTCCCTGTCTAATGTCTGACTACCTGCATAGTTTTTTTCTCCTACCTTTTGACGGGAATCTCTCTTGTAATTGCTCTTTATCGCTTCCTGTCTTATCCCCACCCATCTCCAAGGCAGGTCTGGTTTCACATCTGCATTCTCCAGTTGGGTAGTCGAAGATGCCAGGAGGACACTGATTCACCTTAGCCTTTTTTTCTTAGGCTAAGCAAATCCACCCACTTAAGGCTTTACTCCTATGCAGTGAGCTGCACCACTCTAACCTGCACAGTATCTGCCTCAGTGTGTCAGAGCCATGGCATGAGAATCACAGTTACAAAGCTCAGACTGGCAGGGACCATAACAGACCCTTCTATAGAACTTCCATTCAAACTTGGTCAGTTAGAACCAGAACTGTTTACAAACAACTTCTGGGCAACTCGCTCCAGCGCTGTTATCCTCACAGTAAATTCTTCCTTACGTTCAGAGAGAACTTCTTGTGTTTCAGTTTGTGCTTACTGCCTCTTGTCCTACCACTGGGCACCACTGAAAAGTCTGACCCCATCATGTTTATACTCTCTCTTCAGATACTTATGCACGTTGAAAATCTCCCTCAGCTCTCAAGGCTGAAGAACCCCAGCTCTCTCAGCCTCTCCTTCATCATAGTAGTCCCCAGTGCATTTGCTCCAGTAGCTCCATGTCCCTCTCGCACTAGGGAGCCCAGAAGTGGACACAGCACTCCAGATGTGCCAGGCCTGAGTAGAGGGGGAGAATCATCTCCCTTGACTCTTCCTGATGCACCCCAGGACACCACTGGCCTTCCTGGCTACAGGAGCACCCTGTTGGCTCAGAGTGTCTGTAGTTCACCAGGAGTCTCAGGTTTTTCTCCACAGAGCTGTTCTCCCCAGGCTGTCCTGGTGCCTGGGGTTATTCCTCCCTACCTGCGAGACTCTGCACTTCCCTTTTTTGAAGATTATGAGATTCCTCTCAGCCCCTCCCCAGCCTGTCAAGGGCTCTCTGAATGGCAGCACAGTGCTCTGGGCCACCAGCCACTCCTCCCAGTTTTGTATGGTCACTTGCTGACTGTGAACTCAGTCCCTTCATCCAGCTGTGTCCAGTCCCTTCATCCAGCTGTGTCCATTCTGGGCTGCACAGTACAAGAGGGATGTGGAGCTGCTGGAGAGAGTCCAGTGCAGGGCTACAAGGATGATCAGGGGCCTGGAACATCTGCCCTATGAGGAGAGACTGAGGGAGCTGGGCCTGTTCAGCCTGAAGAAGAGAAGGCTGAGAGGGGACCTGCGCAGGGTCTAGAAGTACCTAAAGGGAGG